TGACATCTGCAGGCACAAGCTTTAATTAAATAAATATATTAAAAAAATTAGTACATATTAAAGAAATGTACAGCGCGTGAAAATATTAACGATTTGTCTTTTTTGTACAACTAAGAAAATAATTATTCGTTTGATTGCTTGATTATCCGCCTTACGTACTACATATTAACTCAAACTTGTCAAACTAGAATTACTAATGACCCGAACGTTGCTCTCTTGTATACGTGTTATTTAATTAAGGAGTAACTGTTTAAAACGATAAATGTTCGTTTTGAATTTCGCGTCTAAGTATAATTTTTGCTCATAATACAAATATACTGTATGTGCCGTTGGTGAAGTATCGCCAATAGCATGTAAATACGCTATTAATAAGCGTGTATCGAGGTCGACGGCAACATTGTTCAGTTTAAAGTTTGGTACAGCCATAATGTACCGGTACGTGTCGATCGCAACCACAAAACGATTTTATCAATAACACTTCTGTTCCAAGTGCGAGAAGAATATGACGTCATATGTTCCAACGTTTGTTCACCACCGCAGCAGGCCGGATGGCCGAGCGATGAAGGTGGCAGCCTACCGCTCTGGGAGACCCGAGTCGAAAAATCCCCAGGATTTTTTCGGAGAGTGATCCGTTCGGATATGTCGGGTCCCGTCCCTCACCATCTGGTCGCCCCATTGTGGGTCTGGCCGAACCCATAATAAGCCTGTTTTTAACAGGCCCATTATTAAGAGGTCCTCTTAGTGCTCACAGGACGGAGAGTTAAAAAACAAAACAAAAAAAGAAGCCACGCAGCAAGCTACGATGGTATATTGGAACAGCGTATTACGTATCCTATGGCCGTACACTTTATGTTTTAAATGTCCTCACGAAAAACGTCCAGTGGAGTCAGGTCTAGTGACAATTTCACCTTATGACAAACTTCTGAAAAGTTTTTTCTAACCGAAAACAAACTAACCCATACCACTCGCTACTGCAAAAAAAATTTTCGGCATTTTTCGACATGACAGTCACTGATCTTGTTCATGAACTGGATCTAAAATAACTCTCTACGACATTTCATGAAAAGTTTTATCATTTGGTATGGTGCAGCTTGGCTTATAAGACTTTTGTGACAAAAAACATTAATCAACCATTTCATGAAAAAGTTATAGTTTTATGAAATTGTGAATAATGAATTAGGGCCATAATACTCTGTATTCATTTAATATATCAGGATGGGATGAAGATTAAGAAACGAAATTTGGCATGGTAGCTTGTGTATAAGGGACGTAGATACTATTAAATTTTGATTGTAAAAGGTAGGTGTGGGAAAATAAAGGGGTGTCGTATGTCATATCTCGAGAGGGGTTGGACTTTACTCTTTCCGCCCTGTGGGCATTAAGAGGGCCTCTTTTTTGCAAACCTATTATGGGTTCGGCCAAGCCCACAATGGGACTGCCGGGTGGTGAGGGACGGGGCCCGTCATATCCGAATGGACCACTCTCCCGAAAAATTCCTGGGGATTTTTCGACCGGTTCGGTTTCGAACCTGGCCCCCCCCAGAGCGATAGGTTGCCATCCGGCCGCCAATATCTAGAGTCCTAAATAGTGTTGCATTTTACTTGGCCAGCAGTGTATAAAAATATTTATAACAATGTCTGAAATGTTATCAATTTAATACACCTACTGTAAGTATTCAATGAAGACTAAACGTAACTAAAAACAAAAAAATCGCATCTAAAATAGTACAGTAGAAGCCATTCTTCAGGTTAAGCCATAATCCTCTCCCTCTCCCCCATGGGGGAATTTNAAATATAATAATGTTTTAAAAAATATCACAAAGTTTATTGTAAAATCATTACTTATATTATTATACTATATTAAAATGATTACTTAATTATATTAATTATTTTATTATATTGTATTTATATTGGGAGTTATATACTTTCTCATTAAAATATGTCTACACTAAAATTGAAAAAATTAATTTTTCAAGACGAAATGAAAGATGTTGAACAATGTAATAATGATTTTAAAATCTTGTGAATTATAATTGATTAAGCATATAAAACATTACATTTATAATACAGTATACTCTGTGATTTATAATGTGATTGTTAAAATAATAATGCTTATACTGTATAATGTATGTTGAAATGATACGAGATGTAATGAAAAGTATATGATGAATTCATCATGTACTGTACAGTACGTTTTAATTATTAGAGCTTCTTATAATTCTCCTTATATTTATGGGTCTCGGGGATTATCAAGAACAAAATAACTAAAAATATAAATATCTAAGCGTCAATGAAATCAAACAAAACAGATAATTTAAAATTTAAAAGATTTTATTCCGTTGCTGTTAAGATAGGAATATTTTAAAATTTGATTGATTCATTTTATTCGATTTAAATTCATTTAAATCGAATAGAATGAATCTAATTTAAATTTCAGTTTTAAACATATAACTTCAGATCTAACTGTATTTTCAGATGTATTTCTTAAGCGTATATTTATTTATTTGATTGATTCATTTTATTCGATTTAAATTCATTTAAATCGAATAGAATGAATCTAATTTAAATTTCAGTTTTAAAGATATAACTTCAGATCTAACTGTATTTTCAGATGTATTTCTTAAGCGTATATTTATTTATTTAAACTATAAATGTTATTTTCTGTCTGAATTTGTTACCGATTTATTATTAATCCGTTTTACCCTTATAAAATTAAAGTTAATATGATTGTCCACAGCCACAGACTAATCTGTTGTTAGGATCGAGTAACTTTGCAGAAAGTGGTTTCGTTTTCGTTTTCGATTTTCCGTAGCGATACGAATCCGAGCTATAGTGAAACATGAATACCGTATATTCAGTTATTGTTATATACAATATGTCTTACCGTCCATTACAAAAATGCATTTAATATTTAATAATTTCGTACCGTGCCGTTAACGAGTGCAATCCACTGTTTGGACGCAAAAATATTTTTATTTCACTAGTTTTAGTCACCATAACTTCCGAATAGTGAATAGTGGACACTATCATGATCGATAAGCTTATCCGCTATTTACAGGTATCCTTAATGGAGGTTTCACTGTATATCATCATATAATTTATATATATACAGTCTATAATATAAAACCCGTTGACTGTGTGTATATGAATTCCTTATAACTCCTGCAATTTTTGCCCAATCTAGATGAAATTTTGGTTATATTTGTTTTGTGCTTCGATGGAAAATATAGGCTGCTTATTTCGCGGAAGTATTAGCTATAAAATAAACGTTTTATCGATTTCGGATCGGTGATTGCACTTACGTTGCAGTGACGTCAGTGACCACGCTTGACGACGGAATTTTCCTTAAGTTGTATTTTTAGATTAAATATTTTGGCAAATGGCGTATTTTACACTTACTTCATTAAATTTAACCTTTAAAAAAGATAGTCGCGTCATGTCACTTCTACAACAAATTAAAAAAAAAAATCCTTCCATAGTGACCACGTGACGTTCTATTATTATCCAATCGGAAGTAACGATCTAACGAGCCCGTTATTTAGAAAGTATTATCGCCCGTCTGGTTTGACTTGAGCAAGATAGATTGACAACTGCTGTCAAGGATTGCAGGAAAAGTATTATAACGTCAAGCTCGACTTGAAGTAGACCTAGTAAGACATGTTCAAAGAAGAATCATTTCTTCAGACCGTCAGATGTTACTAATAGGAGAACAGGAAGTTCAGTTTAATGAAGAAAATGTGTTGGAACATGTCAAGTGTCAGTTTTGTAGTGCACTACATTTCGCACAAGAGTGCCGACTTGACGGTAAATTTAATTCTGCCTCCACGAAGGAAAAATTAAATTGGAAAGGCCCAAAGGTGAATACGGAAAAATATTGGAATACCCTGCAGAACTTTGTGATGTTTTATCTAATGTCAATAATCCATTCCATCAAAACTTTAAGGAAAATATATGATGCACTTTCTTTTGCATCAATGGGTGCAACTATTATACATGTTCCAGGCAACAGGCCATACTTTTTTAAAGTACAAGGCCAAATGTATCATAGGACATCACAAACAGAGAACTACCAAAATTTTTACAACTTTATTTGATTGATTCAGATCTTGCTACTGAAAACATAATGGCACTTTGAGAAAACCAGCAATATTTACCTGAAGTCATGCAAATGCTTGACATATTACTTTGTTGCATCACTCAGCTTGCTGATTCATATCATATGTGTGAAGTACAATGGCAAACGTGAACAAGTTGAAGAAGAAAGATTACCAAGTTGCAGTGATTAACATCATACTTAAAAGAGATTGCCATTCAGATTCGTGTCATTTTTATAAATCAACTGAAAATGAAATAGCAATGATATTCATAAATGATGGCAGTGAGCCTCCTTTTGAGAGAGACAAGTATTTATCCAAAAATTCAAACAATCAAGATCATACTTTTATTAATATATCCATATTAAGTCCAAATATTGACTCAATTACTTATGCACTCTTATTTCCTTTTGGAGAGCCAGGACAGCAACCAAATGGTAGTGTGAGTCCTATGAAGATACAAACAATACTCAATACTTGGAGTAGACAATATGCCAGTATCCTGCAATACAAAGTTGCATAAACAGCTATCAGAGACTATTTTAATCACATTATGTCAGCAGACAAATTAACTCAATGGATTGCTGATTCATACCTCCAAATTAAAGTAAATAATTTAAACTTCTTAATTTGCAAACTGTTTAATAAAATTATTAAAATGGAATGGATATAACAATGAGAAAAAGTTTCTTCCAATAGTGATACTAGTGGTCTTTATCATGTCTTTCTTAATTATCTGCAATAAACAGAGACCAAGATATAAAATTACTTGTCCTGATAGACTGACTGAGTGACTGATTCATCATTGCCCAGAGCAAACCGCTGAACCTAAAGAGGTGAAATTTGGTACACAGTTAGGGTACGTCGTGAAAATGCAAAAATCGCGAAAACGTTAAAAATCCCCACTAAGAAGGGATTTTTCAAAATTCCCCTGCGGGGGGAAGAGGGAGAGAATTAACCTGAACGGCTTCTACTATACCATTTTAGATGTGATTTTTTGTTTTCAACTACGTTTAGTCTTCATTGAGTACTTAGGTATATTAAATTGATAATATTTCAGACATTGCTATAAATATTTTTATATATTTTGATTTTTTAACCAAATGTTCAAATTGTTTTAAATTTGAATTTGTTATTGCGTATTGGTTCGATTATAGAATGATTGTAAACATTCCAGAAAATTAATTAAATTGAAAACAATTCGTTTGGTTCTCAGCAATTCTCATCATTCTCAGCAGTAGGTGTTATATAACAATTACTATGGTTGTTGAAATACTAAATATAAATGGGGTTTGCTTGCAAAATCTATGCATGCAAAGTCACAGGTAACAGCTAGTAAATCAATATGCTTTATTCATCAATCTAACAATGTATTTCAGATTAGTATTTTTAATCCCTCTTTAGACTACAAATTTTAAATATTAAAAACAATTTAAGAAAATAAAAAAAAAAATTAAAAATAAAACAATTTAAATTTATAAATATACACAATGAACCTCACTGCTTCAGTGTCTCAATTGTATTTTACTGCCCATTATTTAGGTTGATACAATTTTGACAATGGATAATAGCTATGTGTTCTTTAAACCGTATATATGTGTCATTTTCTTTAAATAAAACTTTAATATTATTTCTGTCTATATTACAATTATTTTTGCAATGTGGGGTCATTGAGATTGGGGGAATTTTAAGCTTATGGCTGCTTCGTGTTCTTTGTTTTACTGCTAATGGTCTTTCGGTCTCACCTATATAATGTATTTCATTTGTTCAAGTACAGCTCAACTTGTAAACAATCCTGTCATATTTAAACACTTTATTTTAGAATTATTACATTAATCTAATATATGATTAAAAAAAATTAGGAAGGACAAACCCAATAATGGTGCTAGGATTTTTATTCTGTTAGTGGTGGAATTAGGACAGAACATTGTTTAAGTGAGATGAATGTTATCTGTTCATTTTATCATCAAGCAAACTAATTTTTAAAATTTACAGATTGATTTTTAGTAAGATATAAGTAGAAACAACGGTGTATCTAGGATTTTGGAAATATGGGTGTAGCTTAAGGCAGATTTAGAAGATCAAGACATGTAGCCCCTTTCATTTTTTGGAGAATGTTACTCAATTACCATAGTATTTCCTAACCTTATCTAATTGAAGTCATGATATCTGTTATTAAAATTTTATTTTTATTTTAAAATTAATTGCTTTAATATTAAAGGACTACAGCACTATAAATACCCCAACACTCCTGAGTAGAATAGTGAGAATATGTAATTACTTGGTGAACAATTAATTCATATTTATAGAAACCCCCCAATAATGATCAGCACAGATAGACTTGAATAAATTATTTCAGGGAGGCAGATGAGTGGGCATGGAGCAGTAGTGTAATTAGGGTTTGTGGCACTCAGTTTACAGTCCTCAAGTTTTTCATCCATGAAAAGCATAATGCACATCAAGCTTACTTAGATAAAAAGTGAAATACATAACTATAAGAAAAAAGAACTTTGAAAAAAACTAGGACCCTTATGAATATTATTATTAATTAAGCATGATTAAATTAATAAGTGCTTAAATTTGTATGATGGTCAATAAAGCCATCTTCAAAAGAATGCAGTCCTTACCATTGTCAGAATTTAAGATAATAAGCAGTGTTTTTGTGGAAAAATAAAATTGTCTGGTATCTTGTATCCTACTATCCTCATAAAAACTTTTTGTTGTTGTGGATCAAAAGTACTGTCTGAGGCAGACTGCCCTAACTATACTAGTGAGATTTTAGGATGGGCATTCACCCTAATGCCAACTATGGACAGTGCACAAATATGTTGCTTTATCTTTGCTAATTTTCTTTCAACATTTTTATACACCATTATAAGGGTGTAGTTAAAAAGAACAGTGGTGTTTCTTGTTTATTAGAGCTTTTAAAATTGAAAAGTATGTTCTAATTAAAATATAATTTTAGACTATAAATCTCAATTATCTTTGAAAGGTTTTTTAAATTACAAAAACTGTTTAACATTTAGTCTATAAAAGTCATTTACATTTATTTGTACTATAGGAATGTTATAGTCTGTTTTATATAATTAAATTAGATTCTTATTTGACAAATTTATAATTATTCTTTATTTTTTTACAGATAATTGCATTTATTTCACTTACAGCTATTATTATTATTTCAAAAATACTGAATTATAGAGGTAAATAACTATCATGTAATTTTTATATTTTTATCTTGAGAATTCATTGAAAAGTTACTGTAATTATCTTTTACTGTTAATATTTGCTTATTTCCACCTTAAACAGAATATTCAAATACATTTCTATGTGTACAGGAAAGTTGTTCTAATATTTATGGTGAGAAGAATTACTTTACATTCAAAATATACATTCTTATAAATATGTATATAAGTATATACAGTATAATTTAATCTTCATAAGTATCATAAAAAAAATACTGCTATAGGTATAGCAATGCACATAAATACAGTATACTGTTTAAAAATTATGAGCTATGTTATAGCTGTATTATAGAGGTAAATATAGAGGTCATATAGAGAATATAGAGGAAATATAGAGAAATGTTGTTTATTTGATAGATAGATGTACAGTACTGTACATATTCTTCAGTATAATTGTCTGAGTAATAACATGAAATTCTGAAAATGATATCAATTAGATAATGTGAAAATATTAAAATTCTGAATTCAATATAGGCTATACTGTAATTATAAATTTTTAATTAATGACAAACAAAACATAATATTGTAAGATTTTTTTTATGAATTATAAAACTTCAAATTTAATAAATTGAAATGTTTATGCAAGAATTTTAAGAATAGTTGCTAAAATTATCCATAAACTGGAAAAGATTTTATCCTATCTCAATTATTTATGGAGAGATTTTAATGATTTCATTATAAAGTTGAATTTTTTTAGCTAGTTGATAAATCATAGATAGTACCAAAGCTACAATAAATAATAGATAACCAGGAGCAGATTCAGTGGGGTGCAGAGGGTGTGTATGCACTCCCTAAAATCCTAAGCAGAGAAGAGTTTTACATAGTAGAAATACAAAGCTAGATTTACAATTGTGAGATGCCATGCAAAAGCAAACAAATCCACAAAAAATCAAAGTTGAGTTTATAATTGATTTTTTTCCTTCAGCCTCATTCCTATCTACTGTTATAGTTGGTTTCATTCAAAAAAAAATATACATCCAACACTTTTTGGGCTTTGAAAATTGACATTCTATGCAAAAAACAACATCACTTTACCTGTGTTCCAAGCAGAACAAAACATATCCATTGCAGTCGGCCTCAGCCGATGAAGAGCTATGATTGAGTCACGTGACTTCCAGAATGCAACAGGTGGTTTTGTTTTTGTTGTTCTGTTGGAACAGAGATTTTGATGTTAAAATGTTGTTTATTAGTACACATTTTATTATACAATGTATTTCAGTGTTATAATTGAGTGAAAATGGATGAAGGCAATGCTGGATCTAGAAAGAAACCTAAAACTGTTGGAGTACGGGCAAAGAAGAAAATACAAAAATACAGTGCTCCTTTGGGGTAAGATTTGAGGAGCCAGTTGAGCAACTACCTGTAGGGCACCCACTGTCAGCTGCCAAGAAAAAAGACATTGAATTACTTTTAAATGATGAAAGTTTATCATGGTATAAACAAGTGTTACAAAACGGAACCAAGCTTGAAGCAGATGACCCGGAAATAGAAGAAAATAATGGGAACTTGTGTGATTGTTTGGGAGAAGATATTTATTTGTATTTTCTTAGCACAATGTTGCTGTTGAGAACATATCACACAGGAAACACTTTCAGAGGAAAAAGGTTGTTTTATTGGTGTGGATGGATATGCATTTTGGGCTTAATGTCCCTCTTCAATCCTATTATTACATATTTATCAGTAAATTGATTACAGGTTTACAAATTTACAGAATACATTGAAAAAATTAGGATACGTATTACAATGGTTTATATAATAAAACTTAATTACCTGAGATAGTGACAGTTAAACCAACATGACACGTAAGAAGGTATACATGTAGTTGAAAAAAGAAAAGGAGCTAAAAATTCTTTTGGCTCCACACATATACACATTAGGATAGTATAACATCTGCTAAAATAAAAAAGGGGTGAACTTAAATTTAAAATTAAGTATATATTAAGAGGTAGAATTTTTTAAAATTAATAATGGAATACCTGTAGGGTGTGAAATAATTCTGATGAGATATATAGAGAACATAGATAAGATATGAGAGGTTAAAAAGATGTGAGTGATCCTTGTAACATTGAAAGTTTGGTGTGACATGCACAGTGGGTTATGTTAGAGAGAGGATGGTAGAACATCTTAATGGGCTTTGCTACTTAAGANTGATATATATGCAGTGGTGATATTCAGCGGGTTCGCACAGGTTCGGCCGAACCCGTTGTTAACATTTTCAAGGTTTTCCGAACCTTGTTAAACACGTGTAACATTTCTCAATGGTTTTGATTCTTTTAAAAAAATATTAAAATATACGTATTATACTCTGTAACACTACTAAACTAGAACCTTCCGATGCACCATTTGAGCGAAAAAAAATTGTTAAGGAAAAATTTTCTGTTAGTGAACCCTTTGTTAAATATTTCGAATATCACCACTGCATACATGGTGTGTTGGAGTGGTAATTTATTACTTTACTGACGTCACACAGTTTGATATATTTTTTTAGGTAATTAAGTTTTATTATATAAACCATTGTACAAGTATCTTAATTTTTTCAATGCATTCTGTAAATTTGTAAACCTGTAATCAATTTACTGATAAATATGTAATAATAGGACTGAAGAGGGGCATTAAGTCCGAAATGCATATCTGTTCACACCAATAAAACAACCTCTTTCCTCTGAAGGTGTTTCCTGTGTGATATGTTCTCAACAGCAACATTGTGCTAAGATAATACATATAATAGAGAACAAGCAACCAAGATTTAAGACATTTATTGTGTGAGATCCGAAAGGCCCTGGGTCTAATTTGTGAATTTTTATTAATAATATTAAATTATAGACACGAAATATTACTTCGTTTTTGTGGAAAAAAATATTGTTTTAGACGTGGAAAAAAACCAGATAACAGATGCTACTTCCTTTCACAGAAGAGAACATCCTCTGTTTTTCCGTATCTGGTTAAAAATCTCGCTCGGATGGGAAATAGTTACCCCTCANCTGTTGAGAACATATCACACAGGAAACACTTTCAGAGGAAAAAGGTTGTTTTATTGGTGTGGATGGATATGCATTTTGGGCTTAATGTCCCTCTTCAATCCTATTATTACATATTTATCAGTAAATTGATTACAGGTTTACAAATTTACAGAATACATTGAAAAAATTAGGATACGTATTACAATGGTTTATATAATAAAACTTAATTACCTGAGATAGTGACAGTTAAACCAACATGACACGTAAGAAGATATACATGTAGTTGAAAAAAGAAAAGGAGCTAAAAATTCTTTTGGCTCCACACATATACACATTAGGATAGTATAACATCTGCTAAAATAAAAAAGGGGTGAACTTAAATTTAAAATTAAGTATATATTAAGAGGTAGAATTTTTTAAAATTAATAATGGAATACCTGTAGGGTGTGAAATAATTCTGATGAGATATATAGAGAACATAGATAAGATATGAGAGGTTAAAAAGATGTGAGTGATCCTTGTAACATTGAAAGTTTGGTGTGACATGCACAGTGGGTTATGATAGAGAGAGGATGGTAGAACATCTTAATGGGCTTTGCTATTTAAGAATGGCTGCCAGATATCATTTATGACTGCACCTGTATTTAAGTTCATTCTGTGTGTTTCTTTAGTTTTAATAATTTCAATGTGTTTGCAAAATTTTCTTTTAATAATAATTTTTTCTCTTTTAAGTATTTTGATGCTGTCGAGTGAGATCTTGCATCCAGTTTGGTTGCTATGAGTGACAACTGCAGAGTTAGTGTAATTATACTTCATAGCTCTTATATGTTCTTTTATATGGATTTTTAATGCTCTGCTAGTTTCACCTATGTAATAGTATTTAGGATGACATGTACAAGCAAAGATGTAAACAAGATTATTATTTAATAAAATGTCTGTGTTACTATTAGTTTGTTTTTTGGTTTTTAAGGAATTTTTGATTTTATTGTTTAGTGTGGGTGCTAAAATGATATTATATGGTGTTAATATCCTTTGGATGTTTTCAAAAATAGTAGGGATAATCTAATTTTTTGTAAATTATTTGTATCTTTGGTTTGGGTTGATCAGATGAGTGGTTGTGTAGCCATTGGTTGATAATTCTGTTGGAGTAGTTATTTAATTGAAAAGTGCAATAAATTTGGTCTATTTCCATGTTTTGGTTAATAATAGCACTTGTACATGTTTTGATTTTGTTGACATAAATATTGAATATGTTCTTTTTAATATACATCAGTGGCGTGCCGTGACATTTGATGATAGGAAAGCTGTGTTTCTGTAAGAAGCTGGCATCCAGGGGCAATCAGTCAATTGCGCATCAGTGATGGTCTAGGGTCCGTTCGTATCGTTTATTCGATAAGCCAGTAAAAACTGTAGACTTCTCTAAATGCATTTTTAATATCAGAATTACATTCCGAATTGCTTACCACGATATAAGGGCTACAATTAAAAATAAAATAATAAAAACTTACTTAGTGAAATAAAATGTGTGGTGGATGTACCGGTACATACTTGGTAAAAAATATTGTTCAATTGTATGAATATATTTTTAAAGAAAATTATAATTAAATATAACTTTGTAAAGAAACGTACATAAAAATATAAAATATTCTTTACTTTTTAAATCTTAAAACAATGCACTTAGTCAAATAGCTCCCTACAAGTGGCTAATGGATGGAATCGAAGACGGTTGCAAAGCGTGCATACACGCGGACTGCCAAATCCCCAGGGTGCCGATACCGGTCAATGTCAAATGCCTCTTTTGTCGCATCACTAGTATATCTCAAAGGACGCGACAGGGCTGTTGTAGATTTTAAACGTTTCTCACCATNTAATTTCAAACTTAAATTTGACTAATTAAACTGCTTTTTTCCAATTAGAATTCAAAGAAAAGGATTATTTATTAGTGCAAAAGCTAAGACAAATTTATTAGAAATAACATTATAATGAACTTAAATACCC